GTGTATTATGAACTCTTGAAGGTATTGTGTATTATGAACTCTTGAAGCCCGGCGAAACCGTTAATACACAACGCTATCGCCAACAAATGATTAATTTAAACCACGCATTAATCGAAAGACGACCGGAATGGGCCAGAAGACGTGGCAAAGTGATTTTGTTACACGACAATGCGCCATTTCACACAGCAAAACCAGTGAAAGACACTTGAAATCGCTTGGATGGGATATCCTTCCGCACCCGCCGTACTCCCCAGACCTGGCGCCATCTGACTATTACCTCTTNCACGCGCTCGCAGAGCAGCACTTCAACAATTTCGAGGAAGTTGGAAAATGGCTCGACGAATGGTTTGCCGCAAAAGACAAGCAGTTTTTCTGGCATGGTATTCATAAATTACCTGAAAGATGGGCGAAATGTGTAGAAGCCGATGGCCAATATTTTGAATAAAAAAAAATTAATTTTCCTTAAAAATTACGTGTTTTTTTTTACCAAAAAACCGGAAAAAATTTATGCATACACCTGGTATATCCATTGACAGGAATGAAAGGTCTTTCGATATCTAAATGTACTTGACGGAATTTCTCGTCCGGAATAGCGATGCGGTCCGGTATCATCTTGACGTGCCGCTGGATTTTATTACGTTGACAAGGGAGGCATGTCCTTGACCAGCCAGTTATATCTTTCCTTATATTCGGCCAAACAAAGCATCTCTTGGCGAGTTTAAGCGTAGCCTTTCCGCTTGGAAGTGCTAAGTTATACACGGTTTCATATATTTGTCTTCTTAAAGTTACGGGAACGAATGGACAGACGTCGTTACCCGAGGTATCACAGTATAGAATTGTGTCCTGGTTATCTATCTGTAATTTCCATAGAAATAAGGAAGAGGTATTTGTAGAGGACAATTCTCAAAGTTCCTCATCCGTCTTTTAAGCTTTCGCTAAATCTTCTGTAGATACAATGACTGGCATCTGAATGAATTCTCGATAAAACGTCAGCAACGAGATTGTTTAGTCCGGATACATGCACAATCTTCGTTATAAATTGCGAAATGAATTTTAGCTGTTGCAATTGACGTGGGGATGTTTTGTCCAGTTTCTGCTGAAATGCAAAAGTTATAGGTTTATTGTTGGTTTTTATTATCAGTTGGTGACTTTCAACCATATGGCGAAAATATTTTAGTCCGTTAAAGATTGCTAAGAGCTCTCGATCATATGTGCTGTAGCGGTTTTCGGTCTACGATAACTTCTTGAAGTAAAATCCCAAAGGTCGCTAATTACCATCTTCGTATTGTTCAAGCACTGCGCCCATACAGGTATCCGAAGCATCAGACGTGAGAGTCAATACAGCGTTCTCTTTAGGATATGCAAGTAAAGCTGAATCGATTGTTGTTTGCATACTTCAAAGGCTTCGTTGGCTTCGGGTTTCCAATTGATTTTTCTGTTGTCTTTCTTTTTCGCTCCGATTAAATATAGGTGTAATAGTGCTTTAATTTGTGCAGCATTCTTGAAGAAGCGTCGATAAAAGTTGAATATTCCGAGGAAACGGCGGAGTTCACATATGTTTGTTAGTTTTGGAAAACTTTTGAGAGCTTGAACTTTTTCTTCCAAAAATAGAATGCCTTGTTCATTAATTTTATATCCAATGTATTTGACTTCATTTGCGCCGAAGGTACATTTGACAAAATTCATGGAGAGGCCGTATTTCCTGAGTCTCTCGAATATTTCTCGTAGATAATCTTTATGTGTATTATGATTTGGGGACGCAATTAATATGTCATCGATATAAACGTGATAAAATCCTAATACACGCAAAGCAGTATCAATTAGTCTCTAAAAAGTTTGAGCTGCATTACAAAGAACAAAAGTCAAAAATTTGAATTGATATAGACCAAACGGTGGTTTTGTGCCGATCCTCCGGAGCCAAGGGAACTTGGTAAGAAGCCCGCGTAAGATCTAATTGGGTGATTACATTACATCCATGTAGAAAATGTCCAAAATCATATACGAGGTGTGTTCAGAAAATAACGGGAATTTTGGTTGTTTGAAAAAAATATTTATTTATTCGTCTCCATTAATGTTGTAGCCTTCAAAATAGTCCACATTAGATATTATGCACTTGTGCCAGCGCTTCTTCCAATCCTCGAAACACTTCTCAAACTCGATTTTTGCGATAGCCTTTAGCTCTTTCAGCGATGTGCTTTTAATGCCATCTATGCTTGTAAAACGACGGCCCTTTAAGGTTCTTTTTATTTTTGGAAATAGGAAAAAGTCGGCGGAATGTCTGGCGAATATGGAGGCTGGGGCATCGTTACAATATTGTTTTTGGCCAAAAATTCACGAACAAGCAATAAAGTGTTGTTGTGAAATTTTGCTGCCACGCGTTTCATACCCAAAACATTCGAAAAAATTTCATGGCATGAGCCAATCGATATGCCAACATCATCAGCGACTTCTCTGATTGCGATTTGGCGATCGTTCATAACCATTTCTTTCACTTTTTCCACGTTTTCATCGGTTGTTGATGTACTGGGGCGTCCGGGGCGTTCGTCATCTTCAACGTCTTTACGGCCATCTTGAAAACGCTTATACCACTCGTAAACTCTTGTTTTAATCATAGCAGATTCACCATAGGCCTTTGTTAACATTTCACACATTTTGTTTTACTTTTTTTATACAAAATTTGATACAAATTCTTTGATCCATTTCTTTTAACAAACGAAAATCGCCGAGCTTATAAAAACACGTCTAACCTTAGCGGCTGCCACAGACAAAGTAAACAATGAATACAGCTTAAAATTTTATCATCCTTCAGGGGCATGTATACCAACATAATAAAAAAAATTTTGGCGATCGGACTCTCCAAACCCGGGAAATTAAAAAATTCCCGTTATTTTATGAATACATTTCGTATATGCGGTAACGGATATCGGTCCGGGATAGTTGCGGCGTTTAATTTACGATAATCTCTGTAGATTCTCCACTCTCCGGTTTTGGTAGGCACCAAGTGCAGAGGAGAGGCGATATGGCTACAAGAAGGTTGACATATACCGTCCTGTATCATTTAGTCGAAAGCTTCTTTGGCAGCTTTATATTTCGCTGGCGGCAAACGACGAGCTCGCTCAGACATTGGAGTCTCTCTCGTCGTAATGTGATGCTGTATCTGATGTATTCCTTCTTTCCGCGGCGCGGTCATAGTTATCTCAATATATTCCTTCAAAAGGTCGCGGTAGACCGAATTTGAATCTATTGTAGAAAGTGAAGGTGTTTATGAGTTGCTAAGGAGTCCCTTAGAATGTAATGTCGTTTCTTTACCTAATAGTGTATTATAAGCTATATCGACTAAAAGCTTGTAGTGCTGCAAGAAATCTGCATCTATAATAGTTTGCGAAACATCTGCGACAACAAAATACCAAACGAATCTCCGTCGAAGGCCTAAATTCAACGTTACAATTTCGTTGCCGTAGGTATGGATCGAAGTTTCGTTTGCTGCATACAACTTAACTTCGGTAGGTTTTATCCAAGTCTGTGGCTTAAGCCTAGGAAGTATTGAGATATTTGTGCTTGAATCGACTAGGTATTTATGACCGTTACTACGATTTACTATGACAAGGCGATTTTTCTTAAATCTGCCATCCTTTATCGCCTCAACATTAAGCGGCGCTTTTAGTTTTCCGGCTGTTGACTTTTCTTGGACCATGTACACGGTAGTCGACATTGTCAAGATCTGTCACCAAAACGACTATGATAATAGCATACCCTTGTTCGTTATGTTGACGGTGACGGAAAGGAGATCTGTTGTTATTATTGTCTTTTCTGCTGCGAAGTGAACTCTCTTGTGATCTGTCGCGATATGAATTGTTTTGTGATCTGTCGCGAGATCTATACCGAGTTACCTCCTGTAACAGTGATTACATTATCTTTCGCAATTTATCGATCTGTTGTTGAATTTTAAGGTTGGTTTCACTGGTAAAAGCTTCGTTGCTTGGAGATACAGCGATTATATTTTGCTACTCATCTCCATAACCTTATCCACTTGACTTGCTAGTTTGGTTAAGTCCTGCACTTCGCTAACAGCTAAGATCGCTTTGACATTTTTAAGCAGTTGTCTAGGAACAGCAAGCGTTGCACAGAATCCATACATTGACCTGCTGCTAGAATTTTAAGTCGCTGCAATAAATTTGATGGTTTGTCCTCTCCGAAGTCTTGTCCACGGAGCAACTTCCTAATTTTCGACTCATTTAACTCGTTGAATGCGACAATTATACGTTTTTTAAACGTTTCGAATTTATGCTGTGCCGGAGGCGCTGACAGAATGTCTGTAACAAACGGCAGAGAAGTATTTTCTAGGTTCAAGAATGGATTTGGTGTCGTCAGAAGTAATTCTTGCTATAGCGAATGCTGGTTCTATTTGGCAAACCAAATTGTTGGATTGTCTTTCCAAAAAGGAGGAAGTTTTATGAACGAGGCTGCGTTAATCATTGTTTCGCTTGGGGTATTCTCTTGCGGTATTGCTGGAGTGATATCCCCCACGGCAGCTCGTTCCTCATTTTGTGTCTGATTTAGGTTATCTTGACTTGCACGAGACGGTGAACGATCTACAGGCATTTTTTTGTGAAAATATTTTAAATTCTTCTACGTTAGCCGGTCACGTCGGAGTCACCAGTGTAGCGGTTGGTTCCGCCTATGTTCGTTTATTTCCGAAGTGGGAGTCAAGTCTCCGATAATTCTTCTTGGAAACTAATTATACGTATTCAATAAAGTCAGGTTACGTACTCTTTACAGTAGAAGTTTTATATTTTACCTTCCTGAATGCAAGTATTTTCTTAAACATAACTCGCTGCAACCGACATATTTAGAAGTAAGTCTTTGTTTCTCATCTTATTCCTTCTGTGTGCCTAAAGTATTACTTCTGGACTAACTAACTGTCTAGATTATTCTCTAACAACTACTCCACTTTTCCGTTGGAAATATTAGGGGAATGAATTGTCCTTAGCTTGATGCCACAGTGGTTATTCTGGATGAGTGGACTGACGTCACGCAAGCGAAAAGGGAATTTATACGCCCGGAAGCTGACGTCACGCGCGCGGAAAATATTATGAACTGTATTACCAACTGTTCGCGCCCCTTCCAGCAGTCAGTAAACGGGGCCCAAGAGCGGATCATGTTCGATCGCTCTCTAAGCACGGCACTTTCCACGTTTGCCCGCAGCGATTCTCTTCATTTATTCGTGTTTGCTTGCCCGATTCGAGACGATCAGCTCCACCCCCCTCACACTCAAATAAACGAGGCTCCTCAGTAAAAGTGTCAGCCGATAAAACGACTGACAAATGGTAAAAAACAAACGGTAAAAACGGCTGACAAAATAGTAAATAAACGATAACTACTATTTCAAAAGTTTTTTACCGTTTTACTTACGTTTTACAAACGTTTATAATACATTTACGTATTAAGTATGTTTATATAATTCTTCATATAAAACGTCTTTTATACATGATAATATACCTTATGTGAAATACGGATAAAAAACAAAAAATGACCTGAGAGAAAAATGGGTTAGAACTATAGATCTTTCATATACCTGACATCTGCTGTCTCGATTAAGTTATTCATGTTTTTATTAAGCCATACTTTTATTAACCCTTTTAGCCCCGAGCAAGAGTATCGTATCTATGCGAAGAATACCGAGCCAATTTGACGAATTTGTTCAGGTTTGAGAAAAGCTCATAAAAACACATAAAAGCTCATAAAAATTATTTTAATTCTTCTGCAATGGATTAGACCGTTTATAACGTTTTATAAATTTAATTTCAAATAGTGCTTTCTCGAAATGCGAATAGTAAGACGCCCTCGGATACGCGATGATATATCATCATTGGCACTTTTCACAAGTGTTGCGAACGACGATATATCGTCATTCGGCACTAAAAGAGTTAACACCACTGTTTCAGCGATTCTACTAAGATGGTACCCTACTATAGTAAATGATCTTCAGTGAATAAGCGAGTTTCTCTCGACAGCTTCTCATGTTCGCTATCAAATACCAATAAATTATTATCATACTGCATACGAATTACACTATACATCTAAAAATATGGGAAAGAGGTCAAGCAAATAAATATACACAAATTAAAGAACGTATATTTATGTACTAATTGCTATATAGTTTTCTAATGCTGAGACCACTAATTGATTTTTACTAAATTTTACTTCTCATTACGGTGAAGTAATACTTATTGAAATATCATTTTATTTGTTAACAGTTTCATACATAATATCATTTACAAAGGTAAGTATATTCAAACAACCAACCCTACATGTAGCCAGTACGATATTCATAATTAAATAAGATGTTGGTGTTAGCGGATTTCGAATACGAACAGTTAGTCGATAATGTAAGTTTTTCAATTTTTTAATTAACCATACAGTAAAATTCTATCATCAAATTTCGAATCCGTACTGGAGAGAGGATAGTGATTTGTCTGTGCATAACACAAATTATGTTCCTTATTGCAAAAATTCTCAGTTAAAAACCTTTCATCAAGAAACATTAAAAAAAATATTTTATATTTATTTTTATACATTTTTTATTATATAAATTACTGAAAGTTAATATTTCTCTATTTACATACCTTTCTTCATTTACTTCTAAGTAATATTAGGGCGGCGATCCGCTATCGCGACGATGCTCATTTATTTTTACCTATGTTCGCAACAGTCCCTCTTCCGCGCAATTAACGGCTAATAAATGGGGCTCTGCACGGTAAAAAAACAATTATAACAACAAACAGTAGATACGACTAAACGAGAAGTAAAAACGGATGATAAACGGTAAATGAACGGGTGACGAACGCTATAAAAACGGCAACTAAATGGTTGACAAACGGTAAAAACAGTTCTCGAACAATAACCACATTTCTTAAGCGTTTTGTATTGAGCGTTTTATGTACGTCTTAGGAATGTTTATAATACAGCTTATGAAACGTTTTTGAACGTTTCTAAAATGTTACAAACGTTTTACAAACGTTTATAATATAGCTTAAAATACATCTTATATACGTGTGATTATGACTCATATATAACTTAGTAATAAGTACGAAGAATGTAAGAGAAATATAAATTTTTAAGATTGTAATATTTTTTATTAAATTGTATTATTTGTCAAGAATATCGTACACAATATCATTTAAAGCACATGTCAACAGTTCGCAGTCGTCAAAAGACTCGCACTCGAAATCTTTGTTGTCGCGTATCGCTTTAGTGGCGTAACTCAGGTCTGAGGGTTTAGACTCGTAATATACATCCGACAATATCATTCTGTTTTAAGAGGTTTACACAGTTTTTGAAATTTTTATGGCAACATTATGCGTATTTTCACGTAACCATGATTATATATGAACGATACAATGCTCGCGATAAATAACATATTCATTGTTTTTGATTCATTAAATATATAGACTTATTCAACAGATTAAGTTTTATAACTTTATCAAAATTGATTAAAAAAAAAATTCTGTCGTTAGTTCTCGAATCTATAACGGTGAAGAATGAAATTTAATTCACTTTACAAAATGCGTCAGCTAAATCCGGACAAATTCAATTTGAATTTTCTACCATATTTTATTTCAGCGCTAAGTTGGTATTTGTGTCCGAGTACAACAATGTTTCTGAACGAACATTATCTCAAAATGGCTAAACAATAAAGATCGAGCATGGAATATAATTGAAAAACGGCGATTATTGAAAGTCTTCGCGCTGGACAAACGTCAGCCGAAATAATTAAATTTTTCAAATATCCGAGATCGAGTTTACGAAGTTTCTGCTAAATATAAGATTTCGGAGAAGTCTGAAGAATGTTCCGCGAACTTTTGTCGAGGAAGAGCCATTCAAGGGAGAGGTCGGCAAGCACTCCGAAAGTTGTCTAAATGGCCCAAGAGCTGATCGCAGAAGACCCGGGGAAGTTTCTCAAGAAATTGGCCACAATTTTGATTGTAAAAGAAGCTACCATGCGCCAAATAGCTTCAGGGAGGACGTACATCTTTCAACAGGACGACGCACCAGCTAACATAAGACATTTGGTTTATAACTGGCTGTCGGACAACGTCGACATATTTTGGAGCAAATAGTTTTGACCTCCGAATAGTCCAGATTTAAATCTGTTGGACTATGGAACGTGATTGAAAGGGTCACTAACAAGTTCGAGACATCCTAATGTGGCATCTCTCCAGGCCGCTATTGAAGCAGCATTTTTTAATATGAACAAACTGGCGTTGCAGAGAATGTACAATCGCTTCAGGCACAGGATCGAGGCAATATTTACGACAAACGGTTGTTACATTGAGTAATTTTTGTCTATAGCGGTTCCACAAATGACAGGAAAAAAGGTTTTTATTTAATTTTCTACGAGTGGTCAATAAACTTATATTAAATAATATTAAATTAGATAAAAATATATTGTTTATTTTGTCCAGATTTAGCTGACGCACACTGCATATGTCTCTCGATGTTTGCACGTTTCTTGGATTAGCGCTTTCCACTTTGAAATAGGCAGTATTAGTTAATTACCGCGGTTGTCATCAAAGGCAATTTCTACAAACGATACAGGTCCTACGCTGGTCTCGATTTCTAAATATTTCAATGATATGAATTTTATAAGGCGTATTTCCTCTTTAAAATATCAGCTGTTCGATGCGATATGAAAGTTGAATTAGGAGGATA